TACAGCATTAATGTAGACCACAACGATATTCAAAATCTGGTTTTTAGTGCAAATGTATTGCCAATAAGGCTATGGGACATGCTGTTAAACTGAGCCTTCAATTTCGTGAAAATAATATCACAATGCACATGCTTTTTACATGAAGTTATTAAATACAAATATAACAACATAGTTGTTTACTTAATTTTTACGAATCAAAATAAAACTAATTAACACAACATGACATTAACTCTTATAACAACAGCTTCTTTCATAGGCCAAAATAAAAAGCATTCCATAAGAGACGACGCCGCTCACCGGCGTCGCAAAAAATGTATATATCCAGTAGTTAAATGGTCTAAATTAACAATCGCTATTAACGCAGTTTGTAAATGTCTTTCAATCCAGGAATATAGGCGTAAACTTGTAGGTTCCATTTTTAACCACTTTCATCCATTCTAAAATTGCCATTGTCTTCAACCGCCTGTATGGGCCATACGACTGTCACTGCTCGTGGTATTCAAAATAATATGAAATAAAAAAATGATTCTTTAAAAAGTCTATTAAACGGTATCTTAAAAGTAGACGAAGTAAAACGATTTCAAATTAGTTCTTGCAAGTAATTTAAAAACAAAATGTTTATCTTCATAATGTGGCGTTGGTCAGGAATCGAGACTTCAAGATCGGCATCCCGTCATCTACACCTCACTGGCGTGTAATGTTAACAATTCTATCAGAGATTTCTCTTATATAAACAAAGAAGGCCAGAAGCGTATTCACTCGCCGTTCTTATTTCCTCCCTCTGAATTTTCAAAGCGCCATATTGTTTGAAAAATCTGATAAATAAAAAAAAACTTTTTTGTTGAATTTTGTTCTGAAAACTATCTAGAATGATAGAAAATGGTCTAAGAAAATAAATCCGAATATCAATATCTTTAATTCAGTCATTAACGCACTACAGACGTTTAAACAGCGCGTGCAAAAAATAGTCAATCAATATAGCAAACCAGTTAAATTTCACATTTATTTCACTATAAAAAGTGAAATAAACACACAACAATTTCATCAACGTTTTCAAAATTCACCATTCTTTAAATGTTTCTGCAAACGATAGACTTAACGACAGTTCTTTTTTGTATATGAATGGAACAGTCCTTAAAGAACGCTTCTATTGGAAACTCTGAAGCAAAAACACATCTAAACCGCCAACTTAATTTTTTTCTTGATGTGTTAGAATGGAAAAAGATATAAATTCTTCGTGCATTATAGTACAAAAATGCACGGTTTTTCATTCAAATGCTTTGTAATTATCGGCCTTCGTGATTAATTACAAAAGAATTCCTACGCATTTTATTCCACAACAATACACTCAAAGTCTGTTCGATTTATTTGTACGATATCAGTGACTGAAGTGCAAGGTCAATATTGTAGGAAAGACAAAAAAAAATATATATATATATTTCGCTTCGCACCCCCGCCGTATTACTATCAAATCTGAATTGTTTGCCCCGCGTCTATCAAATTAGCGCCCCCCTCCATCTTATCATGTTAATTCTCGTCTTTTCGCTTGGCGGTTTTGCACAAATCAGCCACCATACGATTCTTTATGTTTAGAATTTTCGTGTACACATTAAATTAAACGTCACTCTCACATTATCAAGACGTATAGTATCACTGACAATTATTTCAATTATTTTGTAAAATAACTCATGCATGTCTTGCTTGTATAGTGACCCTGACACAAATTCTGACATAAACTTTCGTAAAAAAAGTAGTTCCATTATTTCGTTTTCGCTTTTCATATTGACACAAAGTACGTGTTATTATATTGTTATAATTGCTTAATGCTTAAATGTGTAAAACGGTACGTATTAAATATTGCACGGATTTATATATCGAGAGTGTCCGGTCCGTGTAATATAAATCCGTGGTTATTGTTAAGTGATATAGGTATCTAACAAATGCATTCATGAAATTAAGTTACAAATATTGTATATATAAATTGATCAAGCAAGAATTCAAGGACGACTATTTATAACTGTTGAATGGTAATATTTGTAACTATGCATGTTTAAAACCTGTTTTTGATTGACAATAGTCATGTTATATTTCGTAAATTCATTTGTAAACATCTATGAATTGCACTTTTATGCTTTTTTATAACTATTAATGATAATAAATTAACCAAATTAATACATATAATACATGAGCGTATCCAGGAAGGGGTTGTATTGGGTCATCGCCCCCACCCGTTGGGATTTGGCTAGTATTCATATATAAGCCCCTCTGATATTTGGATAGTTACCTAAAGCAGCACGCCTCCAGATCAATACTAATTCTAATGAAAATTTGGAAATATGTATCTGAATGTTTAATATTGTGAAGTAACAAAAGGAAGCAAATAAGACAATTTCAATGCCACTATCAACCTACGTACAGTACAAAAAGTGGTCAAAATATTCATAAATAGCCTTTATTGCCTTAGTAACGCATTAGAAATATAGTTGTATATACTGAAAAATAAACTGTCATTAATCACACAGAACATGATCAATTTCATTTGATTCTTACTTTTTTTTATATTTTCTAAAATTTTAGTATATTTTTCTTAAGTCTGATTTTATTGAAATATTTTGAACTCTCTGGAGGCATGAAGCTTTAAGTTATTAAGCAAAAGCATGAGAATATCAGGAAATTTAAGACTCATGACATCACCCCAACACGCCCGCTGTAAAACTAGTAAAATGTTACCCCTTTTGGCATATTTGAACATAGCTTTGTAACATCCTTTGGTAAAAAAATTCCAGGAGCCGCGCCTGGGGGTCATCTAAAGATGGCACAAATTGTTATTCTATGATTAAAAAAGTAGCTTGTGTGAACACATTGACACTCAGCACCTTTACCTCTCATTAACTCCAGCAGGAATAAGCCTGATTTTGTGAAACATTGACACTGTCATTGGTCAGTACCGGTGTACGGACATAATCCCCTTCGGACAAAATCCCCTTCCTGTATTTTTCTATATCTGCACATAATCCGCTCCATGGGTGTACATAATCCTTAATGTGTGAAAATTTGAAGTGGACAAAATCCCCTTCATAATATTGCTACCTAGGATAAAAACCCTCGGAGGATTTTTCGGTTGATCAAGTGGGTATAAGAGCGACATACTGCATTATGCTGTGTGGTTAATATCTTAATGTATAATAAATAAGTAGGAAATATTTCAGCAGGAAAAGCACACTCAATTAACACATTATAATCACATAAAAATTGCTTTGTTTAAGTATTCATATCAATCAATCAAGTAGTGTAGTGATCTTGGTTTGATTAAATTCTTTCATCAATAGAAATTGTAACATTGGACAGTATATATCAATTAGAATTATTAACTTATACAATCAATGAAACAATTATTGGCTAATAAAAATGTTTTTCATACTAATCAATTAAAAATAATTAAAGAAATTGTCTAATCAAATATGTGTTATGCAGTTGATAATTTACCATTATTTTAATGAAAACTTCTAAACTAAATAAAGGTTAACTATTGAACCATAATTATAAATAATAAAAAAACAAAAGGTCATAATTCATCAACTTTTAGGGAGTATAATAATACATTATTCATCAATTTTTATGGAGCATAATTATACATTAGAAAACTATGAAACAATGCGATGATTTTGTCGGGATAGTGAAGGGGATTTTGTCCAGCCTTGCAAAGAAATGAAGGGGATTATGTCCTCCCATGAAAAGGATTTTGTCCGAGTAGGCATTGGGGATTTTGTCCGAGTAGGCGAAGGGGATTTTGTCCGAAGGAGACTATGTCTTACATTCGTCAGTACCAGTCCCTATATAGTTTTAAATCAAAGCTCAAGGTCACAGTATATTCCTCCAAAACAATAACTTGAGAAAAAATATGCCTAGATTTGTATAACTTAAATTGGTAGGGACATGTACCCCTATTGACTTTGAGGTATTCAGGGCAAAGTTACAGTGATACGTGTATTAAATCATGGAGCGATCAGTACATTGTTTTCGCTTTCTTTTTTTCCAAAATTAAGCCCTATCACATTTTAAAAGTGTGCTAGGATAACACATAGTTTCATCGGGTATGTAATGCTGGAGTCCACTGAGGTTTTTTGACATGATGGGACTGTTAATTTATTTTTCAGATAAATGCACCATTTGATGTAGGTTTAGACCACTTATTTTTGTGCAAAATTTCAGATCATTCGCGCACTTCGTGTTTCCAGAATAATGTTCAAATTGTAAAATATGACCCAAAATAGAAAGCGTTTGAACTCTTTACACCCAAATCGGTCTATGAAAAGTATAAAAATACGATTTTTAATTTATTTCAAAGTATATTTCTTAACTTTCTTTGCATATATTTCTGTTTAAAGTGCCCAGCTCATTTATGGAAGAAATTAAAATGTTATGGTTTTAGGCTTTTAAACCTCAGTCCTTTCTTCTGATGAAACTGATGTTAAACATTTACAAGGAAGGGCCCACAATAATGTTGTAAAAACTTTTGGCCCAACCCTTTTGTATATCGTGTAATTTTGTTGATGTAAATAAATTGATGTATATCTATATATACAATAGAATATTTTTAAACTACAAGTCCTTTATTCTCTTGTTACTTTTCACTCGTTATTTCGGTAAATCCATACAAAATAAACGTACACGATATTAGTCAAGATTATATGAAACTGATATCTTTGACCTTTGTAAAACATTCAGATTTGTTTGTGCAACATAGCGTGCAACATGACTAAAGGAAAGATGAAATACATTAAACCAGCTAGTATCAGGTATCAGTTAAATTTTGTCAGCAGTTTTGTTAAAGTATATGATAATTATAGTAATTATAGTTACAACAAAAATGATAGTAGTAATCTTTATATGAGTCTCATCCATACTTAACAGCATAAAAAAAGTTCACTGACATAATTTTACATTCTATTCTGTTTAACAAGAGACAGTCAAAGGGAGGCAACTTCCAAGTCCATACGGCAAGGATTACAGAAAGATTATTGCATATCAGACAGAATTATCTACCGTTTACAAAGGTGCTAGAATATGAGAATCTTACACTGGCTGCCGGTACAGACCGGAATCTCTAGCTCGAGGATAACTAAACAGTTACCCGAGAGCTACAGATTCTTGTTAGTAACGGGCGCCAGTGTTTGATATAAGAATCTTCCACTGACTGCCATTACCGCTGTAATATTCTTATAGTATAAACATGAAGAAAAAGGAAATGGGTCGAATTTTTAATTCTAAAAATGGCAGAACAGACATAAACACATGGGACATAGGAATTTTAAGCAAAATCATTTTACAGCTATGTAGAGGTAAAACACTCGCGGACGAATTGGATAACATAAGAATTCTAAAGTCATTAAGAAATGAACTGGCTCATTCTGGATCTTTAACGATAAGTGATGAATATGTCAAACAGTGGAAACGTATTGGAAGTATTTTGACGGAACTGTGTAAAAACCTTAACAGATCTATCCGCGACGAGTGTCAAAACCTTATTGAAAATTGTAAATTTGGTCTGATTAATGGACAAGAAACACTGCACATGTTGGGAAGCATAAGTCAATACATAACAAAATTTCAGAACAGCTGGCAATTCTGACAAGAAGAGTTGAACAGTTAACAGAGCAGGGAGTCAAGAAAGAAAAGGGCATCATCATTATGAAAGAAATAAAAGGTATTTTAATCTTCGAGTCTAAGTATTATTTTACGTAACGTAATAGCGTTATAGGGTAATCTCCGTTTTTTCTACACCACATTGGCCCACGTGTAAGAAAATCCAGGCCACGTAGGTCCGTTTTCTTTCTTATTCAGGTTTTTAACATATGAGAGTTTTGATTGTTTGCATACTATTGTTATTGCTTTTTAAAATGTACATTGTCAGATCTATCCATTTTTAAAAGGAGTTCATTTTAGAATAAACATCGAACTTTTAACCTAATTCAAATGAATGTGTAATTTCAGCTATAAACAATGTTTTTGAGTTGCTCCACAACCGCACTTTCGTGTTTGCATAGGCGTGATCGATTCTGTTAAACATACGGCGAAAACAGTAGTTCTCGAATGCAATAATGTATTTATAATGTATAATTAAAAGGTCAATAGAATCAACCAATACTCACTACTTACCTGTTTTTTTAGATCTTCGACAAGTGGTGGAACAATGCATAAGTGAAAGGCATGCTACATGTCGAACAATAACAGGTAAGTATATAGTAGTTTAAGTTAATTATTTACACAAGTTTCCAAACGAAATTATACTAAATTTATAAAAAAACATCTATAGACTGAGAGAAATCTTATTCAGTTCCTTTGTGAGGGAAAATGCAATGGATCGAGTATAATCACGCATATAACACATGAAATACTGCATATCAAACAAAACAGAATTATAGTTTCTGAAATAATATTTTACTTATTTTTGTTTCATTTTATTTTTCTTAAAAACCGGACAATACTTAATTGACTATTCAAATAAAAATATACACCCTCTTTTAAGTGCTCGAGGCTAGGCTGTCTATCAGGGGAGATAATACCCAGCTGACGGAATTAGCAGATGAAATTCTGGTTAGGGTGTTTAGAAAAGCAAGCAAAAGAACACCGGTACCTGAAGACGAGACACAACTTTACGCTACCATAGAGAACGACTTACAGAAGCCAAATATAAAGTCATATGCTTGACGCAAGTAATATTTACAACATGTATTTATTATTATCACACTCACTCGACATTGAAAATGCTTCATTGTTGGGCGAGATTGTTGAGCTGTTAGATATGGGTCGAGATGCTGAGGTGATTATGCTGATTGGACAGAGCGGGGCAGATAAAAGTGTGATGCTCAATACCGTCCACAGGGTGTTAACTGGAGAAAATTTCACCTTGGCAAGACAAGGAACCGGTTATTTGCAGTCTGTTACCCTTGACTTTGAAAGGTTTGTGAAAAATACCTATTGAAGATAATTGATTTTAAGATATTTATATTCAAAGAAGATTAATTTAATTTGATTTACATTAAAAGACTTAATACTTGGATAGACAAAAAAGGGGGCGGCCGTGGCTGAGTAGTAATTGAATAGTAATTGATGTTGACGTCAAACCACTTGCCCCTTACCGCTGTGGGTTCAAAACCCGTCAGGATCTTTCGATCCTCTCATGTGTGAGATAAAACATTTGCGGTGAACATTAAACTTCATAATTTCTAATTATTAAAAATCACTTAAAGAGTTTTAATTTAAAATATTCAATGTATATAGATATTACAACTGTGGTGTTTACCTGAAGACTTTCCGAGATGATTCAAGGAGAGGAAAGATTGATGCAATTTTACACAAACTGCCACATATAGTTGATTGTGCTGGCCTGGGAGATGATGACTCACCGGAATTACGTGAAATATTAGAACTTCTTGTAGGAAGTACATATACATTTATTTATATGAAAAATGCTTTGTTTTTGTTTTTTGGTCTATTTTGGCTAACAAAACGCCTAATAAAGACCACCTTTTTACTGCTTTTTTTAACTTTCTTTGTTCCCATTAAACACGTAACAATATGTTTGTTTTATTGTCTTTTTAGTACTAATTAACGCATCAAAGGCATGCTATGTACCCAGGGCGCATAAAACAGTCCTCTGGGCGCTTTTACTGTACTGTAGGGTTTTCTATTTATTTTACTATTGGCGATTGGACTTACTTTAGCCGTTTCTACTCAAGGTGTTTCTTCTGTACTTAATGCAATTCTACTGAACTATAGACGCTTTTACTTACTGAATTTTAGACGTTTGTACTGTACTCTACTATACTCTTTGCGTTTTAACTGTACGCAAACCACTTCTACTGTATCCAAGGCGCTTCTACTGTACTTAAGCCGTTTTAACTTTACTCTAGACATTTCTGCTGTACTTAAGGCGTTTCTAATTTACTATATGAGCATGCACTGTGCTCTAGGCGTTTCTACTGTACTCAAGGCGTTTCTACTTTACTATATGAACATGCACTGTGCTCTAGGCGTTTCTACTATACTCAAGTCTTTTCTACTTTACTATATGAACATGCACTGTGCTCTAGGCGTTTCTACTGTACTCAAGGCGTTTCTACTTTACTATATGAACATGCACTGTGCTCTAGGCGTTTCTACTGTACTCAAGGCGTTTTTTCTTACCTATATGCATGCACTGTGCTGTAGGTGTTTTTTCTGTACTCAAGGCGTTTCTACTTTACTATATGAGCATGCACGGTGTTCTTGGCGTTTGACTGTACTCAAGTCGTTCTACTTTACTATATGAGCATGCAATGTGCTCTAGAAGTTTCTACTGTACTCTAGGCGTTTCTACTGTACTCAATACGTTTTACTTTACTTTAAGACCGTGCACTGTGCTCTAGGCGTTTCTACTGTACTTAAGGCGTTTTTAATTTACTATATGAGCATGCACTGTGCTCTAGACGTTTCTACTATACTTAAGTCGTTCTACTTTACTAAATGAGCATGCACTGTGCTCTAGGCGTTTCTACTGTAGTCAGGACGTTTTAACTTTACATTAAGACCGTGCACTGTGCTTAAGACGTTTCTACTGTAGTTAAGTCGTTCTTCTTTACTTTATGAGCATCACTGTACTCTAGACGTTTCTACTGTACTCAAGTCGTTTCTACTTTACTATATGAGCATGCACTGTGCCCTAGGCGTTTTTTCTGCACTCAAGGCGCTTCTTTTTTTTCTATAAAAGCATACACTGTGCTCTAGACGTTTCTACTGTACTCAATGCGTTTCTACTTTACTATAGGAAAAACACTATGCTCTAGGCATATCATGGACTTACCTGGGTAATTAATAAATTTATCATATTCATATCTTTACAAAACAACATTTTGAACAAGGCTCTTAAAAGGTTTAACAGACGTTGATCTTGAGCTTAGAATAACCTTTTCTGTCAAGGTCTAATTATTGATTTTTTTTTATTTAAATGTCATGATTTTGTAATTATGTACGGATTCGAATTACACTTGAAAAAACAAACACAATACTTGCTAACAAAACAACATATTGAATAAATTTGATGTGACCTTGACCTTAAATTGACTGACTGACTAGGTAAAATTAATGGACTTCTCTTGTTTTTTCTTGACTTGATATAACTTGTTTTTTATTGTATTTACTATATATTAAGACACAACATGTTTTACCTTCATGTAAAACAAACTTAAATTGACATTGACTCATGTATGACTTTGACATTGCATTTAAATTATTTTACTTTCACAGATTATCGCTATTATTGACTGTAACCTAATCCATTAATCAATGGATTTTTCCCCCATATTTAGACAAAACAACCTTTTAGGGACAATGCATTATAATAGGGTCAACTCACCTTGACATTGAGCTTTAAATAAACTTGTCCATAAGTTAAAATATTGAATTTAGGTTATTATATCATTTATGTACGGAATTGATTTATGTGTGGAAAAAACCCAACTTTTGAACAAACATATAGGTGGAATAATGTCTATATGACCTTGACCTTTGATTGGCCTTTTACTTCAGCCATTTCGACTGTACTCAACGAGTTTCCTCTGTACTATACTAGGCGCTTCTACTGTATGCAATTGTTTTATATTCTAGGCGTTTATTTATGTATTTTATGTATTTTTACTGTACTGAAGGCGCCTTTTCCGTATCAGCGGCACAAGTCATGTATTTCTTGCACAAGTACCGTATTTCTTTCCTGGCTATTGAACTCGTATTTATACAGTATACATGTGAGACTCCAATGTTCTCGTAACGCAGTCCGGGTGTATCTATTCAGTATACCATAGGTGTATCAATTGTTCTCAAAACAAATTCACAGTACTCAAAGTACATCATTACAAATGATACATGATTTACAATTAGGTTTTTACTGATGTATTTTTCACGACTATTTAATAGGTTTCATACCAAAAGGTACAAACATTGCGGCATTGCAGTCTAAACAGGAACAATTCGGTGTGGGATTTCTGAAGAGGGTATTTCAGAAGTCGAACCCTGCTGCCAGGGTGACAAAGGTTGCATTTATACAAAGCGGTAGAGATGCAATACCAAGAAACTTGATAAAATGTTTGAACGAAGTCCTCTCAATAACAGACCCTGCAACCTTGAAAAGAAAATGTGAGTTAACTTAACTGATACTATTTTTACTCCCACTGACTATCAAACATTAATTCACATTATACCATATTATACTTTTCTGAACCATATTGGGAGAAAGTACCTTGTCCAGCTTTTGAAATTTTGCATCGTAACATTGCTGTGATGGGAAAAATAGTTTGTACCTTTTGAAACCTCTTTTCTGCACCTTTGGCATAGTATTTTGAAACTGTGCAAAATAGTTTATTCAAGCCAATGCAAATACCATTCATAGCATACATTAAAATTTGACAATGAAATGTTAGGAAACATCTTTGTGATAGCATATTCGAAATAAATCCAGCAAATGTGCCAGTTTTTATATCGAGCATTTCAGTTTAATTGGGATTGTTTCAAAGATTGGTAAAAATAAACACGTTTGGCATTGGGAATGGGTCTGGAAATCTGACCAGTGTAGACACTTGGGAAAGACATGATACAACATTAAGAAGATTTCATTGGTAATGACAGCAGTGCGATTTCAATAATACTGATTGAAGAAAGCGTGAACTAGAAAGCTTACTTCAGCTCGTACGGGCAATATGTTGATTAAAGATACGTAAATAACTTTTGTGTTCATAATCAATCTGTTGTAAATGTTCTACTTTACAACACAAGCCTTACCATTTGCTATAATCATATTTTTATATAAAAACTATAGTTTTTCAGAATTTTACTCGAACAATGTTATGAAGCTTATAAAAGAAATTTAATTGCAAGCAATGTTATATTATCAATTCATAGACACATTAAATTAATTACATGAAGTATGATTTACTTCAGACACTGCAGAAGTGTTTCTACTGATATCAAAGTTTGACTTGGTTCGTGACCCCTCTGTTAATATTTCAACCGGAAGTGACCCTCTATACATATCTTAATCGGAAGTGACGAAGACTGTAAAAAAGGAAATCGAACTCGCTGGCGAGCTTAATATTATCGGAGCATCTGAAGCTAACCGCATTCGTTGGACAAGTTATACGGATATGATTCAAGATAGAGACATAGAGAATAAAGCCCTTGAGTTTCTTAAACGAATCGTCGGTCCCATGAAGATTTTTGAACTGTGCATGTTTAGATTAACGAACATATCAAGCGGTTTTTCTTACAAAATATGCAGTTAAATATAACTCCAGCTTTGTTTGTCACCGCTGTTGTGTTCGTGGTGGTAAGTGCAGTTCTATACAGACTACTGATGGCCAGTGTTTAAGCGGATAAGTCAAGATACCTTCTGCTTACTTCGTCTGACTTTGTCATTTTTTTTTGTATCTTACAAGTGAAAAGTAATTTATGCATTATGATGTGCTCTTGGCCAAATTGTTGGTCATTTGTAACAAAAAGTTACAATTGTTTGTCATGTTTCGTATTACATAATTATAAAGTGTACATGTATATGACTTCAAAGGCAAAATTGTCACATTGTATTATGTAAATTACTCATAACCTTCTTTTGGCTGTAGTTTGTAAAAACAAAGACTTCATATAGTGATCAGACATGATGCACCTGATTCACTTAATACCATCCTTTAATTTGTTTCCTCTTTGATTAATAATAGCATTAGTAATATGGAACATGTGTTATTCATAAATTATCTGTTAATGAAGATTTCTTGCGGTTTTGTTCATTGTCCCAGACTGGTCCGTATAGGCAACAGGTTAGCCTGTAATCTTGATTAAAATTGAACATATTGTAAACAATACTGCTGTTATTGTAATACATAATGTATTGAACTTAATACATTTAAGATATTTTTGTAATTTCATTTGATTCTTTATATTTACATATTTAATATATTAATAAAGGATGCTTTCGTACGTTTATATCTATGTATATTTCTGTTGAAAATAATCAAGTTATGTATATTTAAGCATGTATTATATATCAAATTATTATCATAACCGTTGCTATAGTGATATTTTATATACTAGTGGCTCTTTAGATAGGACATTAAATACATATATAAAGAATTTTTAAATATAACATTTCTGTAAGGTTGTTAAGCCAGCTGTCTGCATGGTATATCTGTTTCTTATTTGAAAGAAAATTAATAAAAAACCAGGCTGAAAATTAATTCATGTACTTTATCAAGGTATAGCTAATGAAATTCAAACAGTTTAATTGTGATATGATATTACAACCATGTTTAAAGCTATTTGACTCCAGATGAGTCAAACTTTTTTTAAAGAAAAGCAAGACAAAAAATTGAAAAAAAAGAAAATAAACAAAAGATCAAAACAGATTTATGGTTCAATATGCAATATTCCTTATTTCATTAAAACTTTATCCCATTTCTAATAATATCGTCAGTTTTCGTTTTGCTTTCTCTAGAAATTTCTCACATTTATTTTCCAAAACTTTACACAAGTGTTAATCAATAAATCAACCCGTGTAATAAAATGTTGTATCTTATATTCTTGTATGTATATGCAAAAAACCCCCCAAAAAACAAAACAAAAAAGAAACAACAAAATAATAAAAACAAAAAAAATAATAATAAAAAAACCAAAACAGTCAAACTTGTTTCCTGAACAATACACTGCTCTGATAAAAAAAGTCTTACCACAGGAGTCAAACTTCTCTTTGTGTTGTATAACACATTACTGGAACGGATGCTCTACCTACTGCGCTAACAAGACATACAGTAACGTGTATTCTTTTCATTTTTTTATGTAAATGAGGCTTTGATCTGCCTAAACTATTGTTCGCATTGTTATTGGTCTTTGTTATGTAAACAAATGCACAAGTTATTAAAATATCCTAGTTTAGTAGCACTTTTGTTTTGTACCCACCGTTGCTTGGTCACACCGAGAGATCTTCTGTTTTGGCGACACTTACCTAAGATATTATCTAGTTAAGAAAAATAGCGATTCCCGTACACAAAGGACATTTATAGTAAACATTGTAGATATAGTTTGAAAATATAATTGAAACATCAACACTAAGAACAATCTTTTTTATCAAAAGTTTGCGTTTTTGTGACCTGATTGTAAATAAAAGTATGAAACGTGATTTTCTAGTTTAGTTTTAACATGTGTATTGTTATCTTCATCTTTAATTTCCTGTATTTATATGAAGATAACATAATGTAAGTAATAGAAGTACTGTAATAGAAAGAGCATCAAAACACGAGGCTATCTTTGTATTTGTACGAGGGGAAGGGGGCTGACGTAGCTCCCGAGTATTAATCAGATTGCCGAGTGTTTTGGTGTTCTTTCTCTTTTGTATCATAGTCATGAAACATGAAAACGTGTTCCCTGTTGTCAAGTATCAAACTCCAGAAAAAGTAACCAATGAACGAGCATCTGAATGCGATATTTGTATGGTTTTCCCTTTCTCTGTCATCACAATAAGTAAACCCAAGCAAAGATGAGCCAGTAATTGGACATGCACTCCAGTTAACACACTGCGCATGTATATGTATAAGATTTAATTCTGACAAAGGTCCACAAACTATGATACAAGAAAAAAAAAACGATACATATGTGATTTAGAAAATGAACAGCAAACTCTTTGATAAAGAGGGGTTTAACTCCTTAAAACATTGGAGTTAATAAACTTTGTGAAAAAGATGAAATAAATAGTTATTTATTAATTGTTTCCAATCTTTCTATCAAATTTTATTCATGAAAAAAGATAATGTGTCATTTTGCCTGAGACCTTTTAGTTTTAGGGTAGTCTTTCTTCTTCTGGAAATTTAGAATTAAATAGCACATTCACTTTGTGATCACGTAGTTGCAAGTTCGAATATTTGACAAACCTTTTTTAATGTTTTCATAAACTGATATTTTATTATTCTTATATTTGAAACATGAGTATGTTTCATTTCTAGCGTTTTTGTCAATTTCATAAAATTGTGATAAATACATATTTTTCATTTCCTTGATTTCAATTTTTACCACTTTAAATATTGCTTGGTATGCATACACAGAATGGTCAAGTTTTGCAAAAAATTATAAAATTCATACAAGCAAACATAAAATTTCACTTGACTCGTACATACAGTCTACAATTTAAAAGTAACTGAAAGAGTTACACATTATCATCGAGGCTAGTAAAGCACGTGACAGTCATAATGATAATGTTACACTTACACCGTAATTTAAATCCGTATGGTTTACTTTAGAATTCGATTATTACCTTGAATGAATATTTAAATGTCTCAGGTCAATATCCAAACAATAACTTTAGCCTTTGAATATTGTCCAACAATACTGACCTAGCACTTCATTACTTTTCGTATAACGAATATATCGATAGATTTGTTAACTTCACACGTATGTAATGGTATAGATCCCGCTCTACCGATCTGAAGTTCTCTGGTTCGATTCTTACCCAACACCACGTTATGAAGATACACATTTTGTTTTTTTAGTTAACTTTCAAGAATTAGTTTGAAATCGGTTTATTACATCTGGTTTTAGGATACATGGTAACTAGTCTTTTTATACAATTTTATGTTTTATTTAGTTACACTATCATTTAATAAAACGTACAACTAAATGTATACTTATATCGAGTTGCAAATAGATCGTAACGACTATAGGGTCAAATGCAAGAGTACCAGGCCAATATTGTTGGACAATACACTACACAGTAATTTAGCAAGGCAAAAAATAGGTATGGCGGACTATAACCTTACAAATAATACTCAACGAAAACGTCTCATTTCCCTGATAGCGCATTAGAAAGAAGACCATAAGTATTAGTGTTGTATTCATGAATCCACATGTTAAAATCATGATTAAGGTACTATTACATTCAAATGTTTCAGTTCTTTTTTCTTTATTTGACCGATTTTGTTGCAAATAGTTATAAATGCATGAGATAGAACATTTTTGTATACCGTTATTACGGGTAGATATTCATTTGAAGAGGAACACGTCAAACATCAGAAAAAAGCTTTATTAGAAATGTAAAAAAATAATGAAATAAAGCGTGATAGTTGTTGGTTTTGGGAAATTCTTACAAAAATCAAAGTTGAAAAGTTGCATTTTTTTCCGTAATTTCAATTATGGTTCCCATTTATATGCCTTAGACGAAAATGGCGGGTTTTGTGTTTACTTTCCCTAATTCTAAGCATATATTAATACAGCACGCCTCCAGATTCATGTTAATTTTCATAAAATATTTTGGAAATGTATTTAAAAGTAAAATAATGTGAGGTAAACAAATAAAGTAATGTGCATATTGCAATCGGCACTTACAATCAACGAAAATTACCAAAAAGTTATCAGCATATGCAAAAACAGCCCTTACTGCGTTAATAACGCAGTAGAAATATGGTGATAAAATACTGCAAAATCAGTCTTAAACCTACATAACATGTAAAATATAGCTTGGATCTTGAATGTTTTAACCTTTCTTAAAAGTTTAGTGCACTGTTCTCAATATTGGTTTTCTTGAAATATTTTGGCTCATCTGGAGGCGTGCAGCTTTAACGGTCAAATAAATCATTAGCATAAGGTGAAATATTGAAAATCCCGACCATTATCTTTTTTATGAGTTAACAAGGCATTATCTGCAGTACATAATTCATTACACAAGCTTTTAAGATAAAAATTGTTATCTATCGATAAACTACTGAACGGTGTAAAACAAGAAAAAAAAACACATCGTGTGTAGCGTTATGCTTAAACAGTGTAAAACTTTCTTTTATAGATTCTATTTTGAATTAGTTTTGCAGGTATGTATATTTATATCAAAAAGCTTTAAATTAAAATAAAAACCGTTAAAGTTAGCGACCAGATTATGATCACTAGCATTTACACATAGAATGACAAACACATATAATGATTGAAGGGAAACTTTCCGCATTGTTTTTAATCATAAGTGCACGAAGGGCTACCATCGTTTATGTAACAGAAATGTTCTGACGCACTATTTGACGTACAGACCAACATCAATTTTGCACAATCGGTTGGTGTGGCAGACACGTGGTCGTTTAAACTTCGTTCTCCTTTTTTCGGGTTTGAAGATGACTTTTATGTTGATACAGAATTATTCGTGTCCGTGATTTTTAACTTATGATCGAACTTGCTTAAGTTTTTAAACAATTGGAATAGTTTGGTCATTGAAAATTTTCCTACTTTCCAATGTCTTACGTCGAGTAAAAAAATTTATTTTTTTCAGGTGTTGAGTGCAACATGCACTACTTTGAATATGCTACATATACATGTTTCTACTTGAATCTACGTCTTATCACAAAACACAACCCGTCAAACTTCAGATAAGGACAATCGCAACTTTTCAGTTCATTCCGTCAGTCTTCGGATAAGGACCTCGAACACAATAGTACGAATACACAGAACGGATGCGGTATTTCGGTCTAATCTACGCTAAGAAACTAGACATGTAAACAAAAAGTAATTTAATGCTGGGATTTGTTTGCAAGACCCCCCCCCCCCACCAGTATATCAAGTAAAAGTCCGTCTAAAATTAGTGAATTCATAGATACATTTTACGTTATCGAAAATTACTCTAATAGCCGAAGACGTTCCGATTGGGATCCCGAACTATGGTGGCTGGTTGCAGCCATTTCAAACCCACGAGAAATCTTATCACTTTATCAGCAGCTTATGGCATAAACAGAAGGCGGGATTTAGAAGTACAACATCAATTAAAACTGAGATGTACAAATAAATCATAATATGTGATGCATACTATTTCTTGATTTCGTACAACTTAATACTAGATTTACAGGATACAATATGAGTGTTCTGTTTAATTCTTCTGGTACAGACCTCACACGATGACAAGTGTCAGATTTTCAAATTATCACCTTATAATGTGTGTTGTGAATTAAGGGTTAAAATGTATAGTAGTAAGGTGGAGTAAATAGGTTGTTGAAAACATTAGGCAGCCGGATTTGTGGGATGTTTGTTGGATGATCTGATCCCAAATATATTACAAAGAGTATAAATAGAGTAAGAAGTTTAAAACTATGGAGGATTTTCCTGGCTTGAATCATTTCTCAATAACTAATGAAGATAATTGCTCACTTTAAATCCTACACACAAAACAGGCTAAGTGTGCTCAGTTATTCCATTTTTCAAGAAGTTGCTCCCTCCTATGCTAGCTATCTACAGTTGAATCTTTTATCTGTCTAATATAAAGCAGTTCCAACAATGATAGCATTCATAGTACTAATTATACTGATTAACTATTGGAAATGATCTGTATAGTGAGACATGTTTTATTTTCGAGAAACATGATGATTCATATCAATCTAAATGCAAGTGTTGTATTACTTTCTCAATTGTACGAGTACATCATATCTTTAATTAATGCCGTACAACTAAAACCTACCGTCTGTTGAGACCTTTAAAAAACGCGAGATTTTTTGCTGAAAGCATACAAAAAGTCGCGGGGATAGTATAAATCTCGATATGTTGTAACAGTAAAACTGTTGTTGGAAGCAGCAAGGATCATTTTAACTCAAGTGTCCGGTAGCGTCCATGGTTTGACTAGAGGGCCGTATAGGGTCGCGTCTTCTTGTTCCAAAACAACAGTCTCATAAAATATCACAGCGAGTAACAGCAATTGTCAGCTGCGACCTTTCAGACATAAACAAAAACTCCACTAAATAAAATTAAGACATTTTTTTTTTATATTTTTGTTATATTGTTATAGACAAGGTATGCAACATCCAAGTCCGAAAATTACAATGTTGTAGTAATTGTTTAGAACACAAGAGTATTTTGTTTGGTCAGTTAAACATATAACACGTTAAAACAGCCGCGTTAGCATTTTTGCTAAACTTAAAACCCCTTATAAGTATTGATTAGATTTAAACTGTAATTTTCTAAACTTGTTTGCATTGAGAATGGCAGTTTTACAGTGTATTGTTATTCCGCACGCCTAAGTATTCTATGAAAATTGATGAGAATAAGAATGAGAAAGGTAAATATCATATAATTTTTGCATGCGACGTTTAAGACGGTGACACTACCAAATTATCTTTCAATGCAAACACGTTTTACCACTTGGCAATACAATTCTACGGTACTCTTATTCGAGAAGAGGGTAATTAAACTTTATTAAATTGATTCCTGACACCTTAAATGTAACCAACATATTTTTATGTCTTAATTAAGATTTTAATTAATTTTAATTTAATTTGAAATGTCACCATTATAGCTTTAAATATGAAATAATTTGTTATAAAATAAAGTTTTGACTTTATTTTTTCCAGACCCCCCTTCCCCCCCCCCCCGGTGATTATTCGGGAGTATCATGAAGAAATGGAAATAATATTGTATTGATTGTATATGTATTTCAGAATACGTACAGAGACTCCCTACAAGATACAAACATGGATGAGATGACGTAAGTTTCTTCCAACTATGTCATACCTTACAATAGACCAACTTCATTTTAACATGTCTACTAGGACTGTCAGGCAAATATGCAAACATGTTTTTTTATCCCAATTAAGACAAAATTATATCAGTAAAGTTATATGGTCCATTTTATGACGCGGCCCGATGCTAGGCAAAATCAACCGGATGAAGTATTTTCTTAGCTGAGAACTGTTTTTAAATTTCACTCGATGAAATGATTATGTAATTTCATCTTACAAAACAAACAAACACATTTTCTTATTATCTTATGCTTGAATACAAGTTTAAATGAAAAATCCTCAATATTAACTTTTTTAAATATCAAAGTCTGTTTGTTTTTCTAACTTGCAGCCTTTATTAGGGTTAAATTTCTAAATAAATCTAGAAATCTAGAGCTAAAAAATAAGGTAAAACAATCAAGAAGTGAACGTAAAATGGCAATTCAATAATTTATTTCAATGATCGCTTGTTTTATTAATTAAAACAAACAATTTTAGAAGATGAAAAAGGTTTCACCATGTCGACTTAGATCCGCCATATTAGGCTCTCCTAATCTATGTAAGCGACCGCCAATTGTAAAAGCAAGGAAAGAATACAATGTATTTGTTATAGAGGGATTCATTTGGGTTTGATACTTACACATTTATTGAATGAAATAAAAAATTAGAGACGGTACTTTGTGATCAGTTAATTTAAAGAATTGAAGTCAGCTTTATCTTTTGATTACGTTTGAAATTTGAAATTGAAAGTTATTTATCAATTTCAGCTTTGCATAGAATAAACTACATGTGTTTGCATTGTATATGGTTTTTATTAAATGGCTTTATAAGAGTCCCGCATCTTGGCTTATGTGTTAAATATAATTATACAGTATGTTTAGGAAAATTATCTGTTTTCCAGATTCCGTGTGTCTTTTACAATATTGGTGCTAATAATTTCCATTTTTGTAAACTACTTCATCTACCGATACAAAATAGATAAATACAACTCAAACGACGAAATTGAAGCTGTTAATCTGCCTGGCAGAGTTGAAAGTCGTGATACTGAGCGAACCAATATCAATGAAAACAGCTATTTTGAAAATGACAGGCCGGTCAAAGTTTTCAAAGCTATTTCTTCACTTGAAATGAGCAAACAAGTTCGTTTGGAAGATCTATCTAAGACTCAGGAAAATGTTCTCAGTGAGATAGAGATGTTAAAGACACAAGTAAAACAACTTCAGTTGAAGCAAAATGTACAGATATGTAACACATCTGAACAAAATGAACTTGAAGACGTGGTTGAAGCACTTCGAAAGGATGTCTATAATCGCCTGGAAAACATAAATGTGCGAATAGACGAACTATTGACGCTTGGGGACAGAACTTACCCCAACACTATTGATAAAAGTATGTAAAACCAACTTACTTTTATATTTTACATCGTTTAAAGATTTATCTTGTCACATAAATTTGCACACAAAGTAAAAAAAAACAGCATTATTTTAAGAAAATGTCCCCCAACCAATTTTTTTCCTTCACTCGATATTTTCATGACAATAATGAATAAGTATGCCGGAAGCAAATGAAGAATGATACATTTCTATTACAGATTTTTTTCTTTAAAACTTAAAAAAAAACACATTATTTAAAACTTCTTAATTCGCTTGTCTACCTTAACAATCAAGTGGCGAGGCACTTTTGCCTCTACCACTAGTGGGTTTGGTGATGCCCTTATGTTGTCATACTAATGCTTGAAGGGATCCCGTGTCTTTTGTTGCCTTAACAACTCTCAATTCTTCTTATATAGAGAAAAAATTGTTTTATATTGTTTACTCATTGTTTCTTTAAAAACAACATTAAAAACAATTATTCAACTATCTTCTTTGTGAAGTTTTACTATCCGTGATTATCTTCCTTGGAAGCGCACAACGATGGGCTGAAAAATACCTACTGAAAATGTCTTAAACGTTCAAAACATCTTTCGACTGGAAATGAATATTAGAATAGAATAACTTTCTTCATTTTACTATTAATCTGTCAAAACAAAAAGTGATAAGCCTTAGTCATATATAATCACGGTCCCACGTTGGGTGCCAAATGGCAAATGGTGAGAAAAATGTGCAGCCTGACCAGGACTCAAACCAGGAATTCTCGGATCACCTTTTCGCGACTCAACCGACTAAGCTATCAGATCGCTAACACAATCTTATTCAAGATTTAAACCCCTTAAGCTTTGAATGGATGTTTTGACAAATATTTTACACAAATTCAAACGGTTATTATGATAAATGACCAATAAGTTTTGAAGTATACATATATTGCACTATATTTAATCATTGCGTTTCAGATCATGCAGCTCTTATATGCCTTGCTGTATTCCCTTTCATTTTGTATTGGGTATGTTATACTCACTGCAAAATTACGGAATTGCAAAAACTTGAGCATGCACAGACAAGTCAAATGAGCAAATTTAATTCGGAACTTGATGCTTTGAGAAAAGAATTGGAGACCTTGAAGCAACTTACAACGAACGATGGAGAAAGTAACGAAGTATCTGGGCGAAAATCAATTTGAAACGCTTGTGTTTTGACATTGTTAATAAAATAAGTACTAATTTATGTTGGCAAGCTTGGGCAATGAGAAAAGACACTTTAGAGTAATATATTAAACTTTAAATAATTCTAATATTAGTTCGTGGATTTTATCACAAACATATTTTAGAAGCATTTGTAATAGAACTAATTTATCAATAATATATGTATATAATGTCCTTAACGTTTCTCTATCTTCACTAATATTTTTCTTAATTACTTGTTTTTACATTTATGTTTTGTATATGTTTAAACAATTTTGCTCAGCATAATAGTTTTTTTATCTAAATCTGTCAAGGTATAATAGTTTCAGAAACGGATAAATAAAATGCCATTCGCCACTTTGTGGAGGAAATACTAGTCTTTTTATTGGCATGATAATTTCTTAAACACTTTTCTTTTATTTAATATTTCTTCAATATTAAAAGCTGTTATATATTTTATTTTATATTATATTAAGCGATTCCACAGAGGTATCTTATATGACGACGCTGAAAACATGTTTCTTTTCGAGATTAATGGTCCAAGTTATGTATGTCTAGACAAATAACTTGTGAAAAAATTTCGCTCCGTTTTTCAAGAATGAAAAAATGACCCAAAGTTAAAAAGCATTGCAACACTTTTCAAAATACTATTTTAAGTTATTTCTGAGTATATTTCTTACTTATCTTTTGCACATCTTTCAGTTTTAAATGCCCAAGTTGGTCTATATAGAAAATTTAAAAAAATGGTTTTGGCCTTTAGAACCTCAGTGGAGTTTCTTTCAAATTTTCAAATTTGTTTGGACTTTTGATTTTCTCACAATACTTTTTGATTTTCATATTACACTTTTACAGAATTAAAGCCGTAAATCTTTGATTTCATCCATTTGTTTCGTACATGCGTCCGTGTTATTTATATACGATTCTAAAGCACCGTATGTGTGTTTAAACAGCTATAAGTTTCCGTATTGCCCTTTATGTAAAATGTCTGTAAAGGGGCATGTAGTATTTTCAACTGTGTCCTGTTTGAAATTTATAATAACACGTGCATGGTGCTCGAAGGTACTAAAAACCTTGACATTTCTCTGCCATTGCAATACCCTCATGTTCGCGTTAAGGAATCCGACTGGAGATTAGAAACTTGAAAATCAAAGATTTTAGGAGCAATGCATGTAAACTATGATTTTCTTCAATGTAGAAAATATATGTACTTGAATAATGCTGTGCAACTGATTATCTTCTTGTGTAAAAGATTTTGAAATATTTGGAATTGTGTTTTAGGCCAAACTGAACTTCAAATTAAAATTGCTCATTTAAAAGTCCCCTGATAGCTATCGGAGTTATAATACGTCCATGACCACTGTGTGGTCGTTATAGACTCTGGGTGTAATTGCAATTTTATAAACGTACCGAACAAACACACAACAAATGTTTGTCGCAAAGTCGTAATGTTTTATATAGTTAAAATATGACACATACAACTTTTAAAAGTATAGTCATGTTTGACAGAATCAAATATACTCGTGATTATCACCCTCTTAGTGCCCAGAAATTGATTTTCGGTATCACTAACCTTAGTGATGAATACAATAATATGTTATTCCTTCACGTTCAAAATTTCATCAAATTTTCAAGGAGTTTTGAAAATGACTAATTTTCAAACAACGCTTTTAAATTGTTGTCCATAACTTATATATAAATGCTGAGGACAGGAACTGGGCAGGGATCTCCTACATGGTGCTTATTCTTTAGTTCATTCAATCAATCAATCTTTCTTTCTTTCTTCCTTCCTTTCTTTTTTTTCATTTTCTTTATTACTTTTTTTTAATTCAAGTTTTGTTAGTCTTTGAACAATTTTTATAATCAGATTCTATTTTCGAAAATGATATCATATTGATCGCTGATATATACATTTATGGAATTCCAATTACAACAGAATTTATGCACATCTTTTACTACAAGTGAGACGATGTGTGGGAAGGGTCAATTCTCTAATGTTGTTAAAACTTGTGGCCCGACCCTTTTGCTTTTTTATAATAACTATATCATCCATGTATTAACTGTAAATGTATTCATTACTGTTTTGTAGTATGTTTACATGTGACAATGTATCTGTTTTTGTATAAAATGTAAAAGCAATAAAATATGATTAAACAAATAGACAGAATCAAAAATTGGTTAGTCTGTACCTGGAACTAAAACTAGTATGTAGGAAATCTGATAATACTCTAATCAAAACAATCATCAGAGACAATCGAACATTAACAAGTTGTAACAATATAAACTTTTGCAATTGGTTATATCTTAGTAATAACTGGGCCAAATAAAAGCACAATTTAGATTTTTGGCATCTGAACATGGAATTTGGTTTTGTCAGAGTTTTTAACTTGCTATAAAATAGTATGTATTTGGTTCTGTTCTTTTGTTTTGCTTTTCAAACACATACATACAGTTTGTATTTGACAAAATGTTCATATCACTTAAAATATCCAAAACCTTTTAGCCATTTTGACCGGAATTCGAACCCCAAACCTCCCACATTCTTACCGAACGTGTCCAACTACACCACATGCTTACAATAATATCTTACAATGATATCTTACAATGATATCAACAGGCACTAAACGTCAAAACTAAATAAAAATATCATACATTAAGAACTGTTCATTTTTCTTATCTAAACATCAGAAATTATGAAAAATATACAAATTCTAGATGTCTGACAGACTTGCAATGGTGTTTATGATATGATAAAAACAATTATTTTTGCTAAACAAAAAACAATCGTGTATAATTAAAATGTATTGACAATGCTATCTATAAGTCGTGTAGAGCTTATTACGCATTCACAAGTCCGTACATTTGTGGGTGGTGATTGGTTGGGGGGGGGGGGGGGGGTGAGTAATCATTTGAAATTTGCAGGAAAATTGCCTGTAATAGAATGAAATTATTCCTTTTTAATCATTTAACATTATTTAAGTATCATTAAATCATAAATCTTTTTTTTCTGAATCACAGAAGGATGCTGCATCTCCATGTGAGAAAACGCCCTTGTATTCCTTAAAGGAAACCGCTTCCTTATCATTTGCTTCACCTTGTGGTACTATCAAAGAAAAACATTCTGTGTACAGTAAATGAGGATTGGTCGACCCTTTTTTCTTTTTTTATTACACTTGTTAAAAGTATGCTTGAAGGTCAAGTCTTTTCGGAGTCACGTCCGCTTTGACTTGTGAAGACGTAGCGTGATTTTCTTGAAATTGTGAAATTTTAACATTATTTTTTGTTTTTGTCTTTGAAATTTGAAAAAAGCGAGCGCGATATTTGTGAAGTCTATTTACAACGAACAATTTTACTTAGAATTATCAGATAAAGTTGAGATATTTCCACATCAAATGTTGAAATAGCTCTGATTCCACCAAGTTGTAATTCATAACATTTAATATTGAAAGGCATTTAAAGATAACGTTGCTTTACATAATTTGAAAAAAAAAAGTTTTTATACTGTTTTCTTGGCAGCAATCAGAGAAATTTTAAAACTGACATGTCTGTCATTCGTAGAAGTTTGAGTTCTTTACAAATAGGTAATACATTACAAAGATAATTGAACTGCCATTTTCCCTTGATGATACATTTGCTTGATTGTAACGTTTGAGACTTGCGGCTTTTGAATATTAATATTTCATCAACAATATCATGTTTCAAAATATTCCTTTTATGTGAAATTTTACAAAGACTTGAAATGGGCGTTTTATTATGGAATTTACAAATCTACTTAACATACCTTAGGTTTTGAAAACTGATGTCAAAAACATGTACATTTGTATACATTTCTTCACAAGAATAGCATACTACCCTTATTAAATAGAAAGGGCAGCAAAAAACATATATACAAAACATTAAAAGTATTATTGGTCTACAATGGTCGCTGTTAAGCCGCATATAGCTCCGAACATATATAACTACCGTTTCAGCAAACATGGATCCCAATAAAGTGGAACTATACACCCGGAGATGCTATACATTGACTAATAAAGCTCCCTTAGTAAAAGAATGCAATAGATATATTGGCATATGATTATGGTTTTCATGTATTACACACACGTTAAGTCGGTCATCATCATCATCGTCATCATCAAATTAAACATCAATGCTGTAGATTCGATTCACAACAGGTACTTTGGATTCTTTCATGTGAGAAAGCTATCCAGCTAGCTTACTAAACGTCGGTGCTTCAACTCAGGTGCCCGTTCGTGCCAGTTTTTTCTTCTTCACGTAACCCTTCTTTCTCTAGTAAGCTGTGAAGTCGTCATATGACATATACCGTGTTGGTGCAACGTAAACCCAACAATAAAAAATAGATTAATAAAAATCAACGTGATAATTATATATCATCATCGTCATCAACATCATAGTTGTCGGTACCGGTACATTAATATACACCATAAACATAAATATTTGTAATATTGCATTCCTTCCATAATTAGCCAATACACTTTAAAACAAATATTCCAAATAAAATAACAAAATTTGATTCACTGCCAACTCCTAGAAACGTGTCACTAGTTAATATCTTATGCAGTCAGAGCAATATTATGTTTCTTTGAATGTTCTGTAAAAAGGTTCCCGGCAGATTTCCTCTAGGGCATTCATTCAGAGTAACAATCATAATAATCATGGATGTTAAACTTCTTTGGCTGTTATTATATACATCATTCTATAACATTTTCTTATCAAATGGTTTTAAAATTAAGTCGGTCATGTTCCGAGTACATGGTAAACAGCAAGGTGTGCGTAAGGGTGTTCGTAAATGTGCGATGGAAATTCTCAGCAACGTGAGTAATTAATCAAGTATTAATAAGACATCTTTAATAGAATGTATTTCTATACAAAGTTTATTTCCCCGTAGAGGAGTATGCATACTAGTCTTAAAATATTTTTAATCATTTTTGGAAATTTGTTGGAAAAAAATCATTATAATTCAATTTTTATAAAATGATCAACAGCCAGTTGTTCTTAATTAATGAGTTTGTCTTTGGCACATAAGTTTAGGTAATCTAAGTACATGTGTACATCTAAACATCTAAGATAAGTTCGTCTTAATAGAATGTTTTGCACCAGTTAGCGATTGATTCATTCAAAATACAAACAAATTTGAAATGTTGTAAGTGGTTATTAATCAAAGAAACAAACATGTATGCACATTTTTATATTTGTGATTATATATTGACATTTAAATTTTGTTAAATAAACATATATATACGAGTATACAGGCAAGCATAGAGTCGAAACCACAATTAATGGTCACACTCAAAACAGAGTGCTTAAACACAATAAATATTTATAAATATTATTGGTTCATTTGTTGATAGCCAAAATTTTCTGTTTGCAAGGCTTCTTTATTTCATGATTTTTTTTAAGATGAAGATAACATGATTTTGTTTTGGTTTAGTTACTATTATATTTTTTTACAAAGATTTAACTTAGAATTATCAACATTCAGTTTATCTTATGGAAGTATTGCTTCCTGTTAAACCCAGCCACAATTTTGATAGTGTCATGGCAATGCATTTGTCCGGTTTCTAACATTGTCCTCACATAGTTACAAATAGGGACCGCTGAATGAATTGAACCTACTAAAATACCGTTCGGCGAAAATAAATGTTTTTGTCTGGTGTGTAATTACACACCAGACAAAGATGAATATCTGTTGAAGATGAATATCATTTTTTTTATTGTACAAGTTGTCTGTAAACCGACGCCAGAGAAAACAATCAAATAAGTTTACATGATTGTTAGCTTCAGCTAAAATTTCAAAATTTGCAACATATTCTCGGTGTTCATAATGTTATTTAAATGCAACTTGTATTAGTTTTATAACTATATTTAAAACTACTTTGAAAGTGATATATTATGCAAGCAATTTAACACGCTTTTAAAAAGATATACGAGTACTATAATAAATCATTTACTTGCCTACTGGCTCTCGGCACAGATTTTATTAATAAAAGTCTCATCTTGGTAACATGTTCACACACATCTGCATTTTAAACATTTTACAAAACCAAAGCCATTCCTTTATTCCACATCTTAAAAAATATCAGTACATATAAACTCATATTTGGTTATTTTAAATTTAACATTGAAACGGCATGTATTATGCTGACATGCGCAAAAGAATTTCCGTGTCGCACTGTCACCATAGAACCCATACCAGAGCAAGACCGGCACTGACCCGCACCAAAGCTTCACGTAATCGTGCCTACATATATGTGCGAACCGACACATAACGTATCCCCGTTTATATACTTAAATCGTTAATGGCTAATAGATATTTTGTCAGTCGCTTGGGCCATTTGTTAGAATTAAATAAAAGATCTTAACAAACTCGCCATATTACTAGTTTTCAGCACAGGAGGAGAGAAAAAGGAAAAACGGCATTAAAACATGATATATTGTTAGATTGTTATATGCACATTTGTATACATGTACTAGTTTTTATTGCACTATAAACTCATACTCATACTGTGTCCACCAACAGTGTGTAGAGTTTAAAATATAACATATTTACTTGTTTGTTTATTTGACATTTAAAACGAGACTGTGTAGCAATTATGAATATTTTCTAGTGAAACATTTAAGCATGGTATGTCTTTTGAATATGGATTGAAATTTCACCGGGTGGAGGCTGTAAAAAGTCGCCACGTTCAATCAGAAATGTTATATTCCCGATCATTAGAAAGTTTTTTTGTGTGTGATAATTTTGTTTCCTTGTTAGTGATCTTTCTTTCTTTTAGATTCCATTGTTCGTAACTGAAAAACATAAAGACACCCTAATACTATGTTACTTGCTTTTCATAGATAACATTAAGCTTCATAACCTCTGACCCCTTCAAGGTTCCATTATAATTTGTTCCATCCAATTGTTTTCGTCTTTGACGTTATTGCATTCTTGTTTGCTCGTTTTCCCTCCTTTGACATGAAAGTCTAATAATGCACCGTTTTCTTGCATTTACGCATCTACAGTATTCCTCGGACTTTACCAAATCGCTCTGCCTAGCTTGCTCGGACTTTAAAAGCGTTCTCGTTCTTTTACTGATCGTAATGCATGAATGATGTTACATTTTATACGCTGTTAAAGGATGGCATCAAATGACACCTATCAAGACTGACAAAACATACCTGAGATGCTTATCTTTATTTCATTTCAGGACGCCATTTCTGGTGGGAGAATCTCTGATCAGACAGGCACATGCGAAAAACTGAGGGGACCATTGAATGACCTAGAAACGTCAGAATCAGAATACGTAGAAAAAGTGAACTTTAAGCAAGCATATCAGCCATCGGTATGTTTTATTAAGTTTTATTTTAAACGATGAGAAAAAATATTTGTTTAAAAAGTAATTATTAACAGATCTTATTAAGACGAAAACAACAATATTAATAATCTTTACAAATATTCTCAGTTACAATATGATATTTTTATCGTCAATTTTAGCTGCACTAATATTGTTATATATCAAAATGTTGACTATAACAATAGTATTTGACTTA